AGCTTACCTCGCACTCCTGTACGTCTAAGTTTGTATAGAAGTCGGTGGTGAGGCACACTGGCAAGGGTCTTTTTAAAGTCGATATAGATGACATGCACCATATCTCTTCTATCTTTCAGACAGTAGATCAAGTTTGTTTCAAAGGATCTGCCTTTTCGGAATGCTTGCTGGAAATCTGGATGTAGGCGGTTTTGGTCAATAAACTGCATTAATTATCGCTTTATTATTTTCTCCATAATCTTGCAGCAAATGAGGTTTAGACTGACAGGTATGTAACTGTTCGCAGATACCCGACTTCCGCCCTTGTACAGCGGCGTAATACACGCCCACTTCCAGCCGGATGGCAGATATCCGGTATCGAATGAGGTATGGAAGAGCATGGAGAGCATGGTGCACGGCGACTGGATCTGGGTTCGGTAGACGTTATTGGGAACATGTCAAACCCAATAACTCATACAAGGGGGTGCGCTTCGACTTTCAGATGAATGTTCACACCATTTCGACTGGGATGCTAGACGCCTTACCTTTACTTATTCTATAGCATCATATTCAATGTGCACTGTGGACAAGGTAGTGTAGATTGTCATTATGCAGTGCAGTCTCCAGTCTTCTTGGCTTCGTCCCGACATCGGGCCTTTGTAAGGTGAAGAATGGACTGCGTTTAATTTGCCGCAAGTCTAACATACTTTAAAGCAAATTCACGCACATGGCATCGTCCCTATTCACACACTGCTTAGGGCATCATCAGATAATACGTCAAAATTTGAAGAATTTATGATTATAGCCTAAGAAACTTGTTTGCATTTGTAGGTCGACAAATAACAATGCTATGGGTGCTTAGTCTAACGCATTCAGCTTTCGTCTCACAGTCCGGGTCGTATTTGGTCAGGCTTACCTTTATGATACAGAAATAGGGGGTGTCTTTTCGAGCTTTGCCGAAGACTTTTATGTATGTTGCGCAATGGAGCTTCCTAACTGCGTTTGGCTGCAAACATCAAGATGCTTGCATTTCGAAATTTTAACGGTTACAGGACGCTATTGGTTGCTCTGTCAATTGTAATTCTCGTAAAAAAGCAAGCCCTTATTTTTAAGCAGAAACTTGTCGAAATGTTAAAGTATGTGCTACGTAATACATATCTTATATCTCACTCGTTGACTGGGAAGTACCACCTAATTTTCAAAATTGCTTACTTTATGCTAACAGCCGCAAGACTGATCGTGAGATCAAAAAAACTGCAACAAAAAGCACTTCAAATACGGACTTTCTTGCAGATAGTTAGGTTGGTTTTGTCTTCTATCAGCAATAGTTCTCACCAGTCACTTGACAGACAGACTACCAAAGGTCGCATGTTTGTTCTGTACAAGCCGGAGTCATGCTGCCTCTTCTTTCTCAAAATCGAATCACAAATTATTGCATGGTAATGTTAACCCAAATACGGAAAAGCGTTTCCTATTAGGCAAGATTATATCGCACATGTTGTAATATAGATTAGCGTCTTAGATTATTTCAAGATACAGTGAGTGACCTATCTCATGAAATGTTGCCTGGAATTCTGAAATGTGTTTTCGATTAGGAAGGATCACTTAGTCGCGGTTATAATACTGATTAGTTTTCGCCATAATCCTTTAATATTGCGGGCTCGGCAGTATGTCAGCTTTAAAAGAAACCGCTTTTTAATCTCCTGTAGAGACCGTACTTGGTAAAAAGTGACTACGTAAGCAGCATGCATTTTTCTCATCGGTTTTCGATGGTCTTGCAAATTCAAATATATCTCATAGAAACCAGAAACAAAAATATGATTTATTTCAGTCAATTAATAGAGAATTGCGTCTTCTTTATATTTCTCATTCAAGGAATGAGTATAATTAGATTTTAAAAAAAGTTTTCCAATTCCCGAATAATTTTGACCCAGACCTACCATTGCATTGCGTTTAGCGATTTCCGTTTACAAGGTGCGTGCTTTCCATGCAAGGGAAATCATATAAACCTCTTTGCCTTTAGGAAGATGCCATATTAAATTTGTAAAATTTTGCAGTGGACTATGTTGTACATTTTACGAGGAGCTGTCGTAAACGTCCAGGTACGACGCTATGTGAATGGGCATTGCGTGGTCTTAAAAAATCTCATAATTAGAAACTTGTTTAAAAACCTTATTTTAATCCTTTCTTGAATAGAAAATATAAAGAAGACGTGATTCTCTATTAATTGACTGAAAGAAAGCATATTTGTGTTTCTGGTTTTTATAAGATATATTTGAATTTGCTAGACCTTTGAGAATCAATGAGAAAAAATGCATGCCACTTAAGAAATCATCTTTTACCAAGCATACTTCCTACAGGAGATTGAAAAGCAGTGTATCCAAAGCCGACATCCTACCGAGTCCGAAATGTTATAACATTATGGCGCAAGAAAATCAGTATTAAAAATGCGTCCAAGTAATCCAAGTAATCGAAAAAGAATTTCAGAATTTCAGCCAGCATTTCACTTTATTTCACCCACGCTAAACGGCCGTCCTTTTAATTACATTAGTCTCAAACGCTTGCGAAACCAAACTCAGGATAAGCGCCATTATATAGAACATATCCATTAAATCAGGTTTCGATTTTCAATCTAAAAAGTGTGTGTTGGTATTTGCCAGGTGGCAAACCATGCCATTAATATTTTTGAACGGATATCGAAAGACGAACCAATTTCAGTCTGGAATGCGGGTGCAGTTACCTTAATGGCTTACACAGTACAAATCGTATGATATACATGTAAGAACGGGCATTCACGTGCTCTGTTATTTATAAGATGTCATATGTCGCCTGCGTTCTATGTTTGCAAATAGATCGATTAGCGGTAAAATAATGAATACCACATACTAGCCTAAGAAACTCATAAAATCCAAAGGATACACTTTTCGTGTACAAAATTTTAAGTAAACGTATTTTGATACCAAACGTTTACAAGGAGCACAGGATCTTGTACATGTCGTCTATAACATGTTCTCGCAGATATCAGGGGATGTATAGTACCACTTTAATAGTCATTTCTATGCCGATTTGGGTTTCTGACTGTGACCAGTTTAATGCTCATTCAATGAGCGGATTTAAGGCGTGCCTGATATGACTGGTTACTATGTTGCGGTACTGTAATCCCACCACATAAATGCCGATCATATTAGAGTCAAACTTCCGACTCAAAGTTTCTTGGGTTCATTCGACCAAACTGCTTAATGTCACCCCGGCCTTATGTTCTTTAGTGGTACTTTATCTGTCAGGCTCTCGGAGATAGATTAGGACTGCACAGCCCCCAGTAACTATGCTACTGTAGTAAAAGCCTCAAGTATTTACACGATTGACAATAGTGCAACAATAATCGACTTGGCTGTAGAAAAATTAAGAAAAGTCTCACAGAAGCTGCCACATTCATTGAGATAACGCTGCACCATATCAAACAGTATTAAATGAGACATGAAAATTTACAGAGTGGAAAACATAGAGTCGAGGGTGCGAGTAAGCTGACATCATTATAAAAGCTATCAGCCTCCCTTCATAAAAATATTTTAATTCGTTTTTTAACTTTAGTGTTTTCTGTCAGGCCTCGCCAAGTGTGAGAAAGTTGAAGTTTTTCTTATGTTCTACTATAAAATCATGTTTAATGTCCCTTGCTGACGACGATGAAACAAACGGTAAAGATTTAAATACATAAGGGTGCAGTTTTTGTAGATTGCTAACGCAGAGAGAGCAGAACTAAACTGTGTGCTAGCCTGGGTTGGTGCACATAGCTTGCAGGATTGAAGCGTTTACCACGTCATGGGATGAATTAGACTACGTCCGCGCAAAGACTTATAGTTGGATGAACTGTGTGCATTTTTCTTATAGAAGGCATACTTCATGAAGCTGACGGCATTTGATAAATTTCTATGTAATCAAGTGAGCTAACAGTAAAGTGTTATGTATGGACAAATTTTGCCTACGTATACGATGAAAGCAGGCACACACGCGTGTATTTATTATTAACAGTGTCTGACTAGTCTCCAGAAACTAATTGACTTTAAAGTAGATGATGAGGTTAGTGGTCCGTATTGTGTTACAAGGTTCCTCCATAGACTGCCTTTAACGAAACCAAAATGTCCCCCATCTGCCATGAATCAAATAATTACGCCCAATGCGCAGATCAAAAGATTAAGAGTCAGTTGTTTCGTTAACGCATCATCAGTATTTCTGAGCAAGATCAAGGTCGATTATTCTTCATTAGACCAGTAGATTAACATAGGAATGAGATTAGAGAAGTAAATCAGCTTATGACTATTGCTTATCTCTCATATTTTGTGTCAGTTATTTGTCAAATAATCGCACTGCAAGCGCTTTAATGCGAATATACGAGGAGTCGAAAAGATTCTGCCCAGAACAGAATCGCAAAATGAAAATACGCTACTTGGAATGCTTGTGTATTCGCTGACAGTTGAGCGATCCAAAAGTCTTTGCCATTAATCAGATGTTTCAGACCGCATATAATGCGTAGGAATTTTGCAAACATATCACATTTGGGTTGTGAAGAACTTATTTAATAGTAGTTTTTATTTCGGAAGCAAAATACGAATTTACTCCAGGTGGCCATTGGACGCTTGTTCATGTGTATCGTGACTTGCAATTGTATCTGGCAATGCTCCCTCGAAAATGTCTGTCCTCGATCTTCAAATAGACGAGGGCAGATTATGCAAACTCCGTGTCGAAAGTTGCCATCACTGTGCCCATTCTACGGACACTTTGAGAGCCCATTGGACTATCCCTCACCTGTTGGTAGTACCTATTGTCGAACTTGCAATAGTTCTCATGCAGTAATTGAGCAGTCCTCTACCCTGCTGATCTGGAATGTCAACAGGATAATCATGTAATCTCAAAAGAAGAGTGGGCGTTCACCGGGAGGGGTTTATTTGAGATCCGACGTTTCGGGTAGTTTACTCGTCTACCCATCTTCAGGGACTGAGAGGTCCTGTGCACAGCACTCCTTATTATGGCGCCCTTTGTCCAATGCGTGATCCGCCAATGCCGCCTGTGTGGCTGCATCCAACCCGCATGTCACCGTGGCCTGAATCGCCCCCGTCGGCCGCGGTGATGACTGACGGCCCCGATTGTCCCGCGCCGTGACTGTCCCCCGCTAAGAAGGTTCGTAAAGTCAGATAAGGGGGAGGCAAATTGATGTGGCGGTTGACAGAGCGGTCGGTGGACATCCAGGCTTCTTGCACTTGCCTTGCTGTGTGATCGCCGCCCAGGCCCACAATCTCAACGGCGTCAAAGTTGAAGATGTGTCCCATTTCGGGGCCATCAGTCATCACCGCGGCCGACGGGGGCGATTCAGGCCACGGTGACATGCGGGTTGGATGCAGCCACACAGGCGGCATTGGCGGATCACGCATTGGACAAAGGGCGCCATAATAAGGAGTGCTGTGCACAGGACCTCTCAGTCCCTGAAGATGGGTAGACGAGTAAACTACCCGAAACGTCGGATCTCAAATAAACCCCTCCCGGTGAACGCCCACTCTTCTTTTGATATTCCACCTGGGAATCGGATTTTCACTACTAATCATGTAATCGTTGAGATAAGCGGTCAATTGGTATAGAAGAAAATAAAGCCATGACGTCAAAAGACGCCAGACATTCATCAGTGCTTACATTGAGGCCTTCAATCCGGTGTAGGAATTTGTGGAAGCTTTTTGTGATCCGTGAACTAGCAACTTCAGATTATTGTAAAACAACTCGACTTAAGTTTTAAGTCGAGGATCCGATGAGCTGTACAATAATCCTCAGTGGGGCATCAATGTTCTGAACCTTTGTAAGACCGTACGCCTGTGCGATATGGGGATCACCAAATGTCATAATCTCTGAGTCATCTGGACCTATGCCCTTCAGACGAGCAAGCTGATTAACCTCTTTCTTGATGGCTGCGGCTTCTTTTTTCATTGGGTCTTCGGCGAGAATAATATAAAACTCCCTGTCACTGAAGATTATATTTGCCTTGTGGACGCAGTCAGTTTTGTCCAAGATGATGGTAGCACCACCTTTGTCGGCAGGAACAACACCAATACGGTGGTTCGATTTCGATAATCGAAATCCTTGCACTTCTTTGGCCAGTAAGTTTAGTAGTTTTTTTGCCGTAGAATACCAGTGAAAGAACTGCGTATGTCAGCGCATTCGTCTTCCGGTAGGATAGAGATCGATGTGATGGCGTTGTTTCCAGTTAGAAAATGAGTAAGTGTTGCATTCGTAGGATTGTATCTTATTCCCTTAGACAGGACGGTGATTTCAGTCATTGGGAAGTTCCGTCTCGAGCGGTTAACAGCTCACGCGACCATAGTCCCCTCGTCCTTTGGGTGAAACGGAAATTAGAGTTTCACCTGGAGATCAATTCTTTTCTTCAGTCTCAAATGCTTTAGCAATGGTGTTTATTCTTTATTGCACCTCCTCAGGTGCGTTTCCGGGTAAGGCGTAAGCATACTGATTTATACGGTCAGCAAGTATGGCTTCGAATGCGCGAAGTCGGTTTTTGGCATCATATATTATAACCCTCTCGGAATGCATACGACCTTTCTTCTGTAATAGTCTATTTTTACAGGATAACTGGAAAAGGGACTGAAGGTACTTGGCAGACGGAAAAAGCGACGCCCAGTGTCGAGCGAGCGGTGTCTCGGGTGAGAGCTTGGTATGAGTCACATTTCGCAAAGCGAGATAACGTCTGACTCGGCCCCGAAGATGATTGGTCATTAAGACAGCCGCACGGCTGGTGCACCCAAAAAGGCAGCTTTGAGAGGCGTTACGTTGCAATAGCCAACCGGAAGGGGGGGGAACCTTGACAAAGCCAACGAATTTTCTGCGTGTTTAAGTTAACCGGAAAGTTGGTAGGTCTATGTGGTTACGTGGACTGCTGTATTTGAATTAATTTCTATGATATTAGTAGTTAACTGAATTCACGCTCACATCATACGGTTGGTCCGGTCTGTCCGGCTTATCAAGTTCTATTGCATTTTGACGCACATCGTCCGGTTTTCTATAGCAACCTCTACCGAAGGCATGCGTACCACACTTCCGTGTCTCAGTTATGCCGGCTGTTGAGACATATATTTCAATTCACTTAACATATTCATGAGGTCGGACATTTAACACATTCCGAAGAGCACAATAATGCAGCAGAAATAAACAGTGCAAAGCGAAGTTTGCATACAGAAAAACACTTCCTGCAACCCGCACCAGCTTTATAACACCACATGGGACGTAATCTGCCACAACCTCACAATCACTCTGTCCCAAATTGATTCCGCGATCGACATGACGTAATCTATTCTAATCTCACAAAAGTACATACGGCATCTAGTTTTACTTTCCTCTATCTGATGGTGGACAAATTAAGTGCACAAGTAAGAGTATTTATGATGATCAAAGACCATGTGAATAGAATTGGCAGATATGGCCCAGTAGGCGTGACACGGAAATAGGTGTCCCCCATCCATGTACAAATGTGGACCAGCGCATATTTCCGCATATGACAATGTACCTATAAGTCGTTATCCCAAGAATAATCCTTAAACGGAACTAAGTTGTCACCCCGAGCATAACCATACGCCTGTCTTTATTCTTAAACTTGAACCTGGCTAGCCTTACCGTTAACTGTAAATCCACCCGCAAATCAAATTGCTTACCCAAGCGTACCACTTACATTAAGCCTAACCCTAACTTCACCGCAATTTGGATCAAAGCCACCCGCTTTGTAGGTGGTTGCGAGTCCTATGTCCTGCCTACGGAGGCATACCAGTCAGCCCTATAACCAATTTTATCACTGAAATGGACCAACATATTATTTTAATTTGCTGACATCGTAATCGGTCAAAAAACTTTTACATCTCAGTGAAAGGCGTTGCGTTTCCGGAGAAGCTAAATATGTATTTATTGTCAATTACTACTAATTTGAATTCATACCCGAAGCCGAGGCTGAGTTAATAACTCATGCCTAACGCATTCGGTCTTCATTAAGGCGGGGGAAAAACGTGCGTCAGTATCATGTGGAAGCCTCTTCTGGCTGAAGTAAGTCGTTCTACGCACGCATGAAATATTGGGGTGGAGTAAGAACGCACAATATGACATGCACGTAGTTCATTTGGTCAGAATAGGCAAGTTTGATAAGAGAAATCCTATCACCTTTTCACGGGCCCAAAGCATGAACTTCCTCTGTTCGCTTAGTTAACCCAAATTCAACTGTGCTGTCCGTTTGTCTGAACGCCAACGTGAATGCAAACTTAAATGCTTTGTCATAAAAAATTCAACGGATTTTCAGTATTGTTTCAGTGTCGTTCACATCAATAAATGATCTGTTTGGACGGCGATTTTAAAGCTAGAAGAAAAAACGTAGTGAGGTGACTTGTCTGCTGTTTTATTGAAATAAGATCACAAACCATGTAGATATTACACTGTGATGTAAGTTGACCGCTACTGGATAGTGGCCACCACCATGTCTGGTTCGATCCTTGACGGTCAACTTGTGTGTTAGACAGTAATTCAGGAAGGATAGCAAAAAATTGCTGATTTCGTTATTCGTCTTTACCGTCATATAGCAAGGGCTATTAACTAGATTATAATCACGGTTGTACAAATTCGGACAGTATAGCGATTACCAAGACACTCTTTCGAATTCGCTATGCCAGCATTAAGTAACATTGATGTAGATACCGGCAATCTAGCTCGACAAATTTAAAATCCTCCGGTGTAATAAACTCATGTAGACGTTCATGCTGTTGGTCGATAATCAATTAATTTTTTGCACATGTAGACGTTATCGAAACAGCGACCCCGATGTGTTTTATACAAAATTATAAATAAATGCATGATGACTCAAATCCTCACGCTTATATGCTAAATGCCGTGCTTGGTTCGACAAAACCGCGATAGTGAAATTAATGTCAACTAGATGCTTAGAACCACTGGAAATTGATAAATAGAGTACCAATTAAAATTCATCTTTGTCGGGGGCATTTATTGACCTGCACAGTTATCCTCGCCTCGGCGGGTAAATATGCTACTTGATTTCTTACCTGCAGTACGGTTGTGTATTTACAGTCTGCGTAGGCATACTCACGCATATCAAATGGTAATAAAAGTGAGCTTTGCCTAAATGTCTTAAGGGGTACTATTTCCTTCCCTAAATTGAACCATAACACCAACGTTAAATCTAAGTGCAGCAGCTAAACCGTCATGGCTGATGATGTCCAACGTGCACTTCAAATCATCGTAAGAGAAGGGATGACGACCAGCGGGGGATTGTGGTGCATCTTCCGCACTCTTCCATCCTTTTTCCACTGAGTCCGATGCCCGGAGGAGGCAAAAAGGCGAGAGAGGAGAGAGGGAGCATGTGATTTTCATGGCTATTGCATTACGTAAGCGTACCACTAATTCCCCGGTCCACAACACACACTCACCGGGCTTTAGTGCAAAAAAGGCAGCAACTTAGTGTTGAGAGGGCACGGCACACGCCTGCACGTTGGCGCGAAAATATGTTTCTACGTTTGGCCCATGCTATGAGTGCGCAACTGCTTATCCGAAAATACATCAAAGCCCTAGGATGCCTTTATTGTTTCTTTGATGTTTTGGGCGTATCATAACGTTTCTCTTTAGGCTTTGCTATAAATGTTCATTTTACTATTTATGTGCTAGGATCAACTTAAGTGGGTCTTTGGATTCTTGCTCACAACTGACAAATGTTTAAAATCGCTATTCGCGTTAACAATTCGTCAACTAATTAGTATTCTTTTGTACCGTAAGGCCAGTATGGGAAAACGTCACTGTAATCATTACCGGCTGTCTTAATTTAAAGGACATTAGACCAAAGAGGCGTTTTTTCATAGGAAGAAAGACACTTGTGGGTTGGTAAATTGCCCTCAAAGAAGTACGCATATTTTTGACATAACTGTAGCATATTAGGAAATACAGTTAGTTTTGGGTTTGCTGCAAGCCACTATCACATCCACGGACTTACCGGCTGGTTTTACGATGTCGGTTTGAGGTTGCCGTGCAAGTAGTTAGCACATGTGTGCCGGTCAAAATGATCAAAGTAATAGGTCAAAATTGGCGCTTAGGAGACTGGTAGCAAACACATGGTTGTCTACTGCGACACCTGGTCAGCCCAGCCATGATACACTTCAGGGCCGTCAACTACGACGCGCATGCAGCGGTCTATCAATCAAATCCCCCATAAACTGCAACACTTGGGTAATCCATCACAATTGTGTTATTCCAGCTAACATGCCAGATTTTAATAGTTATTTGATAAAATAAATATGTTTAGATTGAAATGCGCGTCAAGAGGACAAAGTATGATGTCACACCCACTCAAAATTACTACGTACTAGGCATTGACTTCGAATGTTTTACG